AATACATTTGTGTTTGGAGCCGGGGCACATTTTACTGTACGAATCCAACAGAGTTACCTGAAGCCAGGTAGTTTTTATAGAGTGGGATTAGTTTGGCCTCAGTGATGCAGTCTGGATTTAGTTTTGGAGTAGAAATTCTGTAATTAATTTAAACTCACACTCTTAAAGCTTTAAAACAATCTTTCTGCTCACCTGAGTATGAACATCGTGACTCAAAGTGATGCAGAAAATTAGTGCATTTGCTGTTTCCAGACTGGACAATTTATTTATAATAATGTCCAAAGCAAGTTAGTGAAAAGCCAAAAAAGGCCATAAACAGCTGAAMATATATTTCTATGATGTTAAATCTAAAATGGACTGAGATCTCTTTAATCACGACTTGTTTATTTCACTTTATATGGACTTCCACTCCAAGAAGCATTTACCATTWATCAGTTGCACTTAAAACGACTCAGTTAAATGTCACAGAGCACCTTCGGTTCAGGTTTGTTAAAGTTTCACATTAAAGTCCGACATGCTCTTAAAGATTTCAGTCAATGAAACATCCTTTGGTGTGAAATGTGTTATCTCTGAGGCAAAACTTGTGGAAGAACACGCAGTGCTCGCTTAATGCTCCTTYAAAACTTGCTTTCATGTGAACCTTGACCAGCTGTTAAACTTACATTTTCAGTCATTTGAGCCATGTTGAGACTGCGCTAACGTCTAGGCGGGAATAAATTTGAACTGTTCAGTCATTTTTGGCGTACGTGCAGAGATGTGTTGCACGTGATGTGGAAAATATTCTACGTTATCGTTTTTATTTGATGGAGGAAAATAAAAAATACCAGATTTCTAAGAAACGTAGTGGAAAAGATGAGTCACATATTTTGTATTTGAGCTTTTCTTTGATTTRTAAAAAGCACGAATAAAAGGTTTTACCCTTTTATGAACAAACTACGAGGCTTTTATTGTTACTTCTAAGAATTTTAGTCATTTCTTCTGAAGACCTTCGTGCTAAAAGACATTTCTTGGCCTTCAAAAACACAAGTTCACTCTTTTTCAAATCTAAGGTATAAACAAACAACAAGATCTGATTCATACCAGTCTTTAAATGAGGTAGAATCGGGTTCTTTATGACCTTGTTTGTGATAAAATGCCGTATGAAGCACTGTGCTGAACATTGTCACTTTTTTTATTGTACAAAATAAAACCATTTCTGAGGTTTTTAGATGCAACTTGGCAAATCTACGTTTTATTTAAGAATGCAGTTTTTCTCTTGGCAAACCTTTCAAGCGTGCAATAATTTTTAAGGCTTTTCTTTTCCGACTGCATGGTCTGACCTTGGGAAGAACTTGTTGGCATGTCCACTCCTGTTAACATCAGCAACTGTTAACATTTTCTATCTCTTGAAWAACATTTCCCAATGTAAAATAATGAATTTCAGATTGCCTAGAAATGGTTTTTAATTCCTTCCAGCCTGATGTGCTGCAACAACCACTTCTTTATCCACTCCAGACCTGCAAACGTCCATCCTTCTGCTTTTATAGAGATTTTAACAATCATGCATGATTAGTTGTTCAAGTATGTTTCTTTTTATTTTTTCCACTTTTTTCAGCAAATTTGGTTTTAGTGAACTACCCCACAGTGTTATATTACACAAGATAATATTTAACACTAGGACTACCAGGATCTTGAAAAATACCTATCTCTACCAAAGAGGGGCCAACTGGGTTATTAGCATCCAAATGTGGACAAAACTGACGACTCTGAATAGCCCAATTAGACACCCTGTAAATGTGTGAATAGCTTAGGGACCAGCAGGGGAGGGAGAGCCAAACTCACCGGACCAGTTTTTGTTTCTTCTGCCAACCCAGCCCAGACACAAATACTTGTGGTACCTGTCTGTAAAATTACTAATTCTCCATTTAAAATAACTACTTCTTGTGGTTTGAAGCTGAAACAAATTCTAAAAGTTGTGTGTAATGAAATTTCAGTAAGAGACCAAAAACGCTTTATCTCAGCGAAAGAAGTGAAAAAAGCACAACTCTTGAAATGTCAGCACTACATCAATTGTCAGAGTTATTATGCTTGAAACAGCATAAAAAATTTGAAAATATCAAGTTCTGGTGGTTTGAAGCAGGAACAACGTCTAAATGTTGTGCGTAAAGAAATTTCTCAGCAAAAGAAGTGAAAAATGCACATCTGTTTAAATTTCTGAACTACATCAACTTTCACGCTTGTTGTCCTTGGAACAGGATAGAAATGTTGAAAATTACTACATCTGGTGGTTTCTGAGTATGGGGAGGGGTGAGAGGTAGGGCAGATCTGGGAGACTTTGCACATGCAAATTTGCATGCTGCCTTTTGTACTGTGGTGTACAAATATCTTGCCCGACACTCAGCTTTTTAGTATGCAAGAAACAAGATGGCGAGGAGGCTACAGAAGATGTTTCGCGCTGAAGAGGTTTTGGACTTGATTCTGGAGAATCCCAACCCTTTGGATTCAGAAGGAGAAGATATAG